AACGGGGAGGGGGGGGGGGGGGGGGGGACGACGAGTGGAGACTTAAATGGAGACGATGCAAGAAAATTTGTAAACGAGTTCTTTGAAAGTGAATTTGGAGTTGAGGGGACGTTGTCGGCTAGAATTTCCTTACCAGCACTTGCCACCTTGATGGTGAGAGACTTGATATTAACGGCCAGGACCTCTTTTTGAGGTTCTGCAGACTGTCTTGCTTCTTCGTCCATGTTTGACTAATTAATGAGGGCACAAAACTTGCTTTTGGTGGTTTTCGATGTTGCGAAGGTTTTCAGAAGGCAAGAAAATGCTTGATACTGGGAGCAGATGAAGTCCCATACCATATATTCCAGAAGCGTTCACTAAAACCATTTTGGACAGATTAGCGTCATAAAAAACTGAACTCTAATTTATGCTGACAGGTGGAATTTATTGTGTGGCTATGACAGAGGATTCTTCAGAAGATGGATGCGACAGTAAATACTTTTAAACAGCAGGAGATCCTACATGTGAAATTTATGTATCATCTTCTTCTACAGTGGGCCCTCAAAAAAGTCGAAAGTAGACCTCAATTTTTTTCATGTCTGGATCAGACAATCAATGCAAATATAGGAAAAAATAAATAAATAAATAAAATCGAAACATAGATACAAAAACTGTATATCTTCCAATCAAGAAAGTTTCTGTTTTTGATCCATCATTTTGATAAGATAAACAAAAGTACACTTCAAGGCTGAACCAAGCAAAGTTTCACAGCGCTTGTCAACTTACCACAACCATCCGCTTTTTTTCGAGCTTGAAACTGATTGGTTTAGTTTACTTGACTATAAAAATACATACGAGAAGGCAAATCGGGAAGAACAGATTAAATGATCTTCTCATTTTCTTTCATGAAGAGGGTGTACTAAGATGGGATGATCCAATATGTGGGTTGGATCTATGAGGATTGGACAATATAATGTTGTATAAATGCTTTAAAAAGAAGCAGAGGAGTGTAAATGGTGCATATTTTAATGTTGCTAGTTTAAGGGTTTGTCTTAGGTTTGGGATACTAGCTTTTGTTTCTTGTGTTGTGAGATTATATTAAATGAATTTTAAAGGCAATAAATTAAGCATAATTTCTATCTAATCACATATCCTAAGGATTGCTCAGACATTGAAAAAATACTATGGGAGAGGAAGGATGAACTTAGACCTTTTCTGTTTGTCGTAAATGGGCAGTAATGTCGATGTTTGGCACACAATTTGTACATTAATGTAAAGAAGATGCAATATCAAAATCAATTACATTTTACTAAAAAATTTTATTGTTAAAATTGCGTTGACAATAATCTCCACGTGTCATCATCTACGGTGCAGCGAGACACAGCCCATCAACAATGAGGCCCTATTTGGCTTATTGGTCAACGAGTTAGGCCAGGTCTGTCCCATTGATCAAGGGGGTCGGCCCTGCCTCTATAGGGCCTAGCTCAACTGCCTCGTTAGTCTTCTTTTTAGAAAAATTTTTAAAAAAGCAAAATAAAAATAATTACGAAATAAACAACTCTATTTTTTTCCAAGTTTGGGATTGATTACTTTTAAACATCAACAAAATTGAAATTGTTTACATAAAGAATTATCGGTTGACCCTATGAACGGGCATAGACCTGCGTATTGGCACGTGAAAGTGGATGAGAGAATCTTCAATAGGGCGGTCGCACCTCGAACCATCACGAGGTGCGACCGCCCTATCAGGGGGCCCCACCTCGATGGGTGGCCCATCACACCCCTCCGAGGTGTGTGAGTCACCATCGAGGTGGCGTCTTGGCATTGGGTGGGCGCCCCACGTGGATGATGCGCCCACCCCACTAAAGATTCGAGGGCTCTACTTAGAATTCGGTATGGTAAATATAGGATTGATAGGTCTTTAAGAGGTTAGCGAGCAGCACAAGCATGTTGTCACCACTATTGTGTCCATTTTATTAATAGTAGTGTGTTGAATTAGATAAGACTAAATATGAACGATTTAAAAGTTTCTAGAAAACATATTCTTTAACTTTGAGACAAAAGAATCTTACTATTGACTTACTTCTAAAAAGGTAATTCTTTCAACGTAAAAATTTTAAACATATTTCGTAAGCACGAATAGTAACTACTTTTTGAGTAGGGATGTAAATGGATCGGATCTGTCCAAATTCGATCCGATCCATTAAAAACAATTATTTGATTTGATCCAATGATTAAGCGAATATTTGATTATTAAATTCATATATGATTTATTACGTTATTAGATATCCAATTTGAAATTGAAAAAATTCAAAAGATAAACATTTTATGTTAATCAACTCTAAGCCTTAGAATTAAAAGGCTCAGATAGTTTTTTACTCAATTTTTGGCCCTAGTGAGTATTTGATGTTAGAAGTGATAAGTTGAAAATAATGAATGCAACTCCAAATGTTGGCTCATTTGGTTGTTTAATTTATAAAATAAGTTAATTATTATTTTCACCTTATTTTAATTAATAAAAAAATTAAATCTCTTCAAATATTTCAATTAACAGTGTTATCTATTATCTAATATTATTTATTATTTGAAAATTATGTGTAAAGTATAATGGAAAAAATTTTAAATGGAAAAATTTATGTGTAATAAATTTTGCGAAAATATAAAAAATATATTATATTATTAGAACGACTCGGATCAAGATGTTATCAGATCGAATTGAACTATATTCATATTTGTTTCATTTTGTTAACGGATTATCGGATATAAATCTTGATCGAGTAATCGAACTGAGATCCTAAATTCATCTCTTGTTAATTTCATTTAATTCGTAGCAAAATCCAACAGCTCTACTTTTGAAGTCAAAGAGGCCTACTTCCATAACAAATAATGAAAAATATTATTGGTTTTAATAATGATCTCGGACAATGGTAATGCTAGTTCCAACCGATTTTGCATAATCTTGCTTTTCATTAATTAAATATGTGGCTTATTAGCTATTGATTATATAAGTATAATTTCACAATGAATGCTGTCTGAAATAATAATGTAATTCATAGGCTTGAAACCTATAGCCGGCTAATTAATTGCAAAACAAAAAACTCTTAATTTCACCCAAAAAAATAAAATATAATATAATAATAATAATAATAAATTCATAAAGTTATAATTAATTTATTTCACAATTATTTCACTAAATGTATGCTAAAATCGTAATTCAGGCAGTGTCTCCATACTCCATATCGAATATAAAATTATTGGCTAACTTAGCAAATTTATAAATATGTATTTCAGTTAGTCCCTCTATATAAATTCGACATTTTATTTATGTGTTACTCCAAAATAAAAATAAAAATCTATAATTTAATTTATAAATATGTATTTCAGTTAGTCCCTCTATGTAAATTCGACATTTTATTTATGTGTTACTCCAAAAAAATAAAATAAAAATCTATAGTTCAATTTATAAATATGTATTTCAGTTAGTCCCTCTATATAAATTCGACATTTTATTTATGTGTTACTCCAAAAAAAAAAATCTATAATTCAATTTATAAATATGTATTTCAGTTAGTCCCTCTATATAAATCCGAAATTTTATTTATGTGTTACTCCAAAAAAAAAATAATAATAATAATTCAATTTATAAATATGTATTTCAGTAAGTCCCTCTATATAAATTCGACATGTTACTCCAAAAAAAAATTAATAATAATAATTCAATTTATAAATATGTATTTCAGTTAGTCCCTCTATATAAATTCGACATTTTATTTATCTGTTACTCCAAAAAAAAAATAATAATTCAATTTATAAATATGTATTTCAGTTAGTCCCTTTATATAAATTCGACATTTTATTTATGTGTTACTCCAAAAAAAAAAAAAATAATAATAATAATTACTTTTAAAAATAATCAAATATAAATTTAAAGATACAGAATTTATTTAACAGAATTAATAAAGGAAAAGAGCTGTCGCCCAATTTTTGATAGCAGCCAGTCAATGGGTGAAGGCTACCTCCTTGTTCATTGGCTGTGGACCCCGCTCGCCATTCCCTTCCAGGTTCGACCTTGTCTTTTCTATTATAATAATCCAACTTTTTCCCCAATTATTTTTATATTATTTCCTATCATTATTCAGAAATCAAAAATTAATTTTCCGACCATATATCTCCAAATCTGTATTGCAATTCAGGATTCCTTCCAATTCCCTAAAGCTCCCAAGGTATGCTTGTTAGTTTTTAATTTCAACCTGTCAAAATTTGAAATTCTCATTTCAAGGGCTTTCCCTTTACTTTCCATTTTTGATTTGGAATTTAAGAATAAAGGAAAAGAGCTGTCGCCCAATTTTTGATAGCAGCCAGTCAATGGGTGAAGGCTACCTCCTTGTTCATTGGCTGTGGACCCCCCTCGCCATTTCCTTCCAGGTTCGACCTTGTCTTTTCTATTATAATAATCCAACTTTTTCCCCAATTATTTTTATATTATTTCCTATCATTATTCAGAAATCAAAAATTAATTTTCCGACCATATATCTCCAAATCTGTATTGCAACTCAGGATTCCTTCCAATTCCCTAAAGCTCCCAAGGTATGCTTGTTAGTTTTTAATTCAACCTGTCAAAATTTGAAATTCTCATTTCAAGGGCTTTCCCTTTACTTTCCATTTTTGATTTGGCATTTAAGAATATCCGGACTTGAACTTGGGGAAGATAATGATGCAATTAGTACCATCTCTGGCTCAGAGAAATTGGTAAATGGTGATGAAACCAACTTTCAGAACAACGGAGGTGTGGTGGAAAATAATTATCCTAACGAGTTATCTTCCAAGGGTAAGGGAATGGGAACTGAAGTTAGAGATTTGGTGAATTTGGCAGCCACGGATGTGAAACTAGAAGTGTTACCTTCCCATGCAACAATGAAGAAAGGAAATAGATTGAAGAAATGGAAAAGGATCAAGAGGGACCCCAATAAGGTTGGAAACAGTAGTGCTGACACTGGCAAGATGGTTATGCAGGATTTGTCAAATTCAGGTGGAAATTCGAGCAAACGGATGCAAGTTTTGTATGACAGGAACCAAAAAGGTGAGGGGTCTGTTTCATCAACAAATGCTGTGGCGAGGAATTTGGATGGTTTTGCTATGCTTGGTGATTATGGGTTGGCCATTGGACCAACCTTTGCTGCTGGTACCGATTCAGAGAATAGTGAGGATCGGAGTAGCAAGTCCTCCACGGCGGCCAGTGCTCCAAGGGCAAGATATGAGATGCCGGTAGTTGCAGGATTTCCGCGTGATAGGAGCAAGATTAGGAGTCCAAGTGGAAAGAATTTGGGCAACACTGTGCGTGGTCAGCAGGGAAAGGGACGCATTGAGACCGGTAAAAAGGCTAAAGGGGAACGTTTCAAAATCGAGAAGGAAAATTCTCAATCCAACATGAAATCTGACTCTCGAAGCTCCAACTATGCCCTTATGCAGGGAAATAACACTGCAACAATTAATGGGATTCTAAGTGGAAGATTGATGAATTATGATGAAGCAAATGGTGATGAAGTTCAGGCCAGTGAACTTCAAGTTAGGGATGGGATTCGAGGTGGTTATGACAGGAACAATGACAGAAGATTTGAAGACGTCTCTCGTGAAGATTTAGTTGCCGACTCATCTTGGGAGGCTAAAGAAGAAAGAAGTGAGAACCATGAGAACTCAACAGATTCTGATCCTCTAGTTGAATCCGTGTTTGCACTTCAATCAGCACAAGAAGCACTTGAAAAAGGTGGGCGCACCTTCTTCCTTTGCCTCGTTTGATCATTTCCCGGTTTGCATAATTATTTTCTTCTTATATATCATAAACTCTATGTTTGCAATTATAAGATAGTAAAAACGATAATTTGGCATGGGGAATTTTTTGCATGACATGCAGTTTGCATAATATGAAGACGGCTTTAAGTTATCGTCACAATATCTGAACCAAGAGAGTGGGATTATGTGGATTGTATAGCTTGTTTCGGGGAAAATTTGAAGTTCATCTCCCAGAGATGGTTAAATATGTAGGCCCTGTTTGAGCCCCACTATTTCCTCATTAAAATGAAAAATATGACCGTTATCAATCACATTAAGCCATCATATTTGACTTTTTATTTCTTGTGCGGGGCCATAAACACTATATTTTTCATTCTCATTTTTCAATAATGTGGCTCAAACGGGGGCTTAAACATTAAATATAGTAGGATGAACTCTATTCTTTTTATCTGAACACTTTAAAGCATCAGTTTAAGGTTAAAATTGATGAGTTTATTAAACAGGTTACGGGATATTTGTTCTTCGAGTGTATTCCTAGTATATGATCTTGTACTGCTTTTATCCTTTTCTTCTGATGTAGAATTAAAAGCTGTGATTTGCTATCATTAGCTTGTAAATGCCTGACCTTGCCTGGATGCCTGAATCATTTACGTCCATTTAATAGACTATGCATTTCTTCAATTTGGAGATAGCTTTAAATATTTATTGAGAGAATATTCCAAGAATAAAAAGAAATGCTGCTCAGGATTATGCAAATCCCTGTAGCTTCACGCGTATGTTGGAACAAATTCATTCAAAATAGTATTTGTAGGTTCGAAAAACTTATGTTAGATAAATGGAGTGCATGATCTTTGGCATGCCAATTAGTGTTTTGTGTGTTCATTTGTGTATGTCCACTTTGATTATAGGAGCGTCCTACCAGGAATATAATTTTGAAGAATGTCTTTGTTAAATAAAAGTATTGGTTAATGAAGAAAATCATGTTTATCTCTTAATATTCTTTTGTATATGGAATTTGATGGTGTTCAAAATCATTGTGATTTATTGCAATATCTATTGTTTGTATGTTATACTATGTCACAATGCTCTTATTATCGTTCCCACGGATTTGCAGAATGTTATAACTACAAAAATTCGTTATTATTCCTCCATGTTTGTGATGTTAATACTGCATAAATCTTGTCTCTATCTAGCTTTTATTTGCAGAATTTAGGAAATATGGACTTTTTCACATACATGATAACTTTGTTCACTGTAATTTTTTTATTGCTATTGTACATGCCAAATTATTGTCAAAGTCGGACCCACTCGTAAAAGTTAGTGATTAGTCAATGAATACAAGAATAATTTTCTATATTTCTTGTCTATATTTCAATTGTATACCTCTCAATTTATAGTACAAGTGGGATAAGGGAGAGAGGAAAGAAGTCTCCTAAATAAGGAGGGATGGAAATTACCAAATTACAGTCTATTTAATTATGGAAAAAAAAATATGTGAAAAATCTAAATATGGTACAAAAATAAATTAAAATGCAATCTATAGGATTTCTATACTCCCCTCTAAGTTGGATGGTAAATGTTAACCATATTCAACTTGCAAATAAAGTCTTCAAAATTTTGTCGAGGTAGTCCTTTCGTAAACATGTCTGTAATTTGTTCTTTTGTAGAGTCATATGTCATGCAAATAACCCCATCTGTAACGTTTTCTTTAATGAAGTATATCTACTTCAATGTATTTAGTTCGATCATGTTAAACTGGATTATAGGGAATATTGATGGTTGCTTTGTTATCACTTATCACAATAAATCTTGATTGGAAACTTTACTGTGGCTTGTAGTTCTTTTAAGAGTTTCTTGAGCCATAGTGCTTCACATATTCCTTGGGCAACTATTTTAAATTCCGCTTCTACATTGCTTCTTGGCACTACATTCTTTTTTTACTTCTCTAAGTTACCAAGTTTCCCCACACGAAAGTGCAGTAATCGATAGTTGATCTCTTATCGTCTGTGGGGCCTACCCAATCCGCATATGTAAATATTCATACTGCCTCCGTATGAGTTTCCTTTGGTGAGTGCATATGTTGACTTACCACGCTTATTGCAAAAGCTATGTCTGGTCTAGTATGAGTTAGGTCCATTAATTTTCCAACTAGTCTTTGGTATCTATCTTTCTCAACTGGATTTCCACCCACTTCTGTTCTCCTTCCTATAAGTGTGTCGCATGGCCTACAATCAAGCATGCTTGTTTCAATCAGGAGGTTGTGGATATATTTTCTGTGTGACACGCTAATACCTTTTTTGATCTTAGTATCTCATTTGTCCCAATTCTTTCACTTCAAATTCAATTGCTAGACCTTTCTTAAGTCTTTCCATCTCAATTGTGTTGTCTCCCGATTGTATCATCCATGTATCCCATTAAAATGGTCTTCTTCCCATTTTTCTGATTTTCCATTTTTCTGATTCTTTGAAGAATATAGTGTGATCTGATTGTCCTTGCTGATAACCTTGTTCTTTCAACACCCTTGCAAATTTATCAAACCATGCTCTCGGTGATTGTTCGAGGCCATTCAATGATTTCTTGAGTTTACAGACTCAATTTTCCTCATTCCTTTTATAAAATCCTGGTGGTGAAGTCATGATGACCTCTTCCTCTAGTTCTCCATCTAGAAATGTATTTTTAATGTGTAGTTGTTGAAGAGGCCAGTCGAAGTTAGCTATCACAGACAATAAGACCCGAACTGTATTTAACTTTACCACTTGTGCGAACGTCTTTGTGTAGTGAATGCCATAGGTTTGGATATATCCTTTTGCAACCAGACGAGCTTTATATCGCTCAATTGATCCATCAGATTTATACTTCATATTAAAAATCCATTTGCAACCCACGGGTTTCTTCATTCTCGATAGATCCATCAACTCCCATGTATTATTTTTTTCTAAGGCCCGCATTTCTTCCATTATTGCTTCCCTCGATTTGGGAATTTTCAAAGCCTCCTGAATACTTATTGGAATTTTTGTACTATTAAAATTAGATGTAAAAATACAAAATCTTGTAGATATAACATTATAAGATATGAATTTTGAGATAGGATGGAAAGTATATAACCGAGCTTGTTTCCTGAGAATAACAGGTAGGTCTATGTCTGGAGGTTCGGATTCATGAGACGTGTGAACATCTGGAGCCATCATCGGTTACAATTATCTTGGTGTTTTAAATGTGGGATTCTCCTTTGATTTTGGCCTTCTTGAGTAAACTAACGTCTCCTCGTTATTTTGTTTTTTTATATCTCTACCTAAGTACAAGTTCTCTATACATGGCATGGTAGAATAGGGTGGTATGATAGATTCAATGATTTTGGTGGGCTCGACAAAGATATTAAAGTTTAGGAACCAATCTTCACTCAGATTCTCCCCCTGAAGGGAGGTTTTTTGGAAGTAACGTGTTTTCTTAAAGAATGTAACATCAAGACTAACAAATGTTTTCTTGGTTACTGGATTGTAACATTTATAGCCATTTTGAGTGGGTGTATATCCGAGGAGGATGCACTTAATTGCACAAGGATCAAGTTTGGTCTGATGATGGGAATGAATGTGAACAAAGACAGTACAACCAAACACTTTGAGGGATATGTTCGAGTTAAGCCGAGAATTAGGGAAAAAATTATGAAGTCTTTGAATAGGTGATTCAAAGGAGAGAGTACGACTAGGCATTCGGTTGATAAGATAGGTTGATGTTAAGATAGCATCTCTCCAGAACATTTTTGGCATATTTGTGAGGAACATTAAGGTACGAGCAATGTCAAGAGGGTGAATGTTTTTTTGTTCGGCAATCCCATTTTGTTGTGGGGTGATGGCACATGAACTTTAATAGGTTATTCCATGCATTTGTAGATAGTCTTGCACAGTGGTATTGGAATATTTAGTACCATTATCTGTTCGTAAGATTTGAATTTGTGTTTGAAATTGCGTTTGGATTATTTGATGAAAGTTAATGAATATCGAATCGACCTTAGTTTTTCCTTTAGTAGGTAAACCCAACAAACCCGAGTATGATCATCTATAAACGTGACAAATCATTTGGTATGAGTTCGGTTAGAAACCTGTGAAGGGCCCTATAGATCACTGTGAATCATAGTGAATGGTTTCGATGGTTTTTATAAGGATTTTGGAAAAGTAATGCGTTGGTGTTTTGCAAGTTCACAAATTTCACATTGAAAGTCAACAGATGTTTTATTCGAAAATATGGACAGAAACGTATATTTTGAGTATTGGAAGTTGGGATGTTTGTATAAGGATTTTGGAAAAGTAATGCGTTGGTGTTTTGCAAGTTCACAAATTTCACATTGAAAGTCAACGATGTTTTATTCGAAAATATGGACAGAAACATATATTTTGAGTATTGGAAGTTGGGATGACCCATTCTGCAATGTCACAATATAATATCGCTATCCCTAGAGACAAACATGGAATAAAAATGGCAGTTTGACATTGTCTACTCATGTTGGCCTCGTCAACGTAGTAAAGCCTCTCATATTCTCTAGTACTGTCAATCGTTTTCCCCAATGATAAGTCCTGAAATACACAGTGGATTGAGAAAATTTAGTGGAGCAATTGAACTCTTTAGTTAATTGATTGATAGATAATAGATTGTAAGACAAGTTTGGGACATGAATAACAGATTTTAGAGTTATAAACTCAGAGATACGAATATTTCCTTTTCTTACAACGGATGAGAGGGATCCATCGACTATCTTAACTTTAATATTGCTGGCACAAGGTGAGAGTGAGGAAAATAGATGGTAAGAATCTGTCATGTGATCGGAAGCACCCGAATCAATAATCCAGGGAGTTTTATATTTTGAGGAGATATTTAAGGCTTTTAGAACACTACCTTTGTGGGCTAATGAACGCGAAGAACTGTGTGTGGAAAGATGACTTGGAGTTTGAAGGCTTGAAAAAATCTGATAGAGTTGTTCTAACTGCTCATTGTTGAATGCTTCCCTTTTTGTTTCTTGGAGTTTCCTTTTTGTGTCCCGATTTACGACAGTGTTCACACCAAGGCTGTCCCTTTTGTTGTTTTTGGTTTAAACCATGAGTTGCTCCTTTTGATGAATATGTAAATCCAGGCCCAAATCTAGCAGATCCAAATTTAGAAGACCCAACGGCTCCAAAATTGCCCAATCCAGCAGAATGCCCAAAATTATTAAATTCCAGCCCAATAGCCCATGACCCATTTCCTGCCAGTGAAGATGATTTTGGCCCATACGTTGGAGGCCCATTTTCATACCCAGAAGCTCCAAATCCAGATGACAGGAGTGCCGACATCTCCATGTTGCCAGCTATCACTGTCTTCATCATCACTTTCCAGCGATTTTCCTCCTTCCTCACCTTGGCAAACACTTCGCGCACAATAAAACTCTATCAATATTTAATCTATCAATTGTAGTCTGAGCACTGTAAAGTAAATAACAATTATTCAAACGAAAAAAAATAAAAAATCGAAGGACAAGAAGAATTTAGGGAGAAGAATATATCAATATTTAATCTATCAATAATAGTCCAAGCATAATAAAACTCTAAGTCCTATTTATAAAGTATACAACTTCCAGTAAATAACAATTATTCAAATGATAAAATCTTTTCTAATAAAACCATTAAAATCTATTTTAAATCAAACTTATCTTCAATCCTAATCTTTTCGAAATCTAAGATCCACATCCTTATTCTCCTCATACTGTGCTTATGCAAAAAATGGAACAACAATTGTCCATAATACCAATTACTTCACATATCATTGGCGATTTTATTGTTGTTTCTATGAGTATGTATTGAAGAGCCTAGATCTGATAGTGTATTAGGATTGTGGCGGTATTGAAGAGCCTAGTTCTGATAGTGTATTAGGATTGTGGCTGCATCTAATCCTGATTGCTTCTTCTCGAGGCAGGCTGATTATGGCAACCAAAGTTAGTTATCTTGCCTTTTGAATGTTAAATAGACTGGAATAATGAATTAAGAGAGTACGCCTGAGTCTATCTTGTCTTTACCATGAAACATAATTTTTGAATTGGATCAAGACTTCCAATTGAATAAGTAGCAAAATAGCTATTAAACGATGACTTTGGTTTACTAGATACATTGATCCCCCGGGAATTGAGACAATTAAATTTTACTAAAATAGTTTCATTAGCTCCCGAGGTATTATAAAATGAGATCACTGATATGTTTATAGTGGGTATTTGAAAGAAATAGATTAAGAACTAGATTAATTAGTAGATTGTGTCTCACACATATACCTTTAATAATTCATATTCATAAAACAAATTAAGTAAAAAAAAAGTATGTGAGATTGCTCATACTGTTAGCCATCACATCTAGGCAGCATGTTATAGGTGGTGCTTCTCTTTCAGAATGGTTTATGCTGAAGCTTTGATATGTTTGCCTCATTTAATCCACTCTGATCTGTGGCATTATTGTTCTCTTTCTTTGACAGGTACATGCCCATCCTGCACTTGGTGTCTTGAACTTGTTTGGTTATTCCATTTTTGTCGCTTAGTCTCTATATTTTTATTTGATTGTACCTGTTTAATCTGTTCATCTGGTGGGAGACCAGATATATTATTTTACTCTATTAATACAATGTGGATCAGCAAACTTCCTTGGCTGATCTACAAAATTGATTGTTCATTTTTCATGCTTGATATTTTTGTTACTGAATTAGTCAATATGATTATACAGAGGTTCAGAAGTTCAGGGAAATTGGGAGAGAAGATGTCTCCGTTGATGAAGTAGTTCAGGATTTACCTTCAGAGTTCACTTCAGTTGATCCAAAATTGTACGAAACAAGCTCCTCTGATAATTTACACTCTTGCAAGCATGTGAATAGTTCTTTCCGTTCCTTCCACTCTGAGGTAAATGAAACAGCAAACTTGGACAGGGATATTGAACTAGAGGACCTTTTCAAGCAAAAGATCGAAGCCGAGGTTGAATATCTGGTAATAACAAGAAATGCTCAGATGTTGAGAGTTGCTGCAGTGGATCTTATTACCCTTCTGGAAAAACAAAACTTTAGGGCTTCCCAGCAAACCCGAATGCTCAACGAGCTTAGAGATACAGAAGATGTTCCAAGTGCCACAGTGGATTCTGAAGACGTTCCATGTGCTGGTGAGACATTGAAGATGCGGAAAAGGGTTTGTAAGTACACCTCATGTTTCTTCACACAGTTACTACTGTTGGTAATTCTACTGGGAGTCTCTATTTTCCGGTCATCACCAAATAATGCCGATATTGTTCCGACTTAATTATTTTGGAATGTCTTCCCTTTCTCCCTTTTCTTTGTAAAATAGCGTTTGGACTTTTCAATGTGTAGTAATTTCCTTGAGAAGTAGATATATAGATCAATGAATTAGCTACTTTTGTTGGTTTATTTTCATTTCATCGTACAGTAGCTGATTCTGCTGCATAGAATTTATCTACTTTAATTTCATTATAACTTCCTTTTTATATGGTTTTTGGCCATACGTTGAAATGAGTTTCAATGGTAGGAGAAGAACGCTGAGCTTATGAGTATAGAAAATTGGCTTGGAAATTTTTTGTAAATGACTTATTGTCGTTAAGAGATTGTACCGGTTATGACTACACACAATTAACAAGGAGAGTTGTACACAACGACAGTCTTGTCAAATAAGTGTAGATTTTATTTAGATGCAATTCAATATTGTCCATAGTGGATAGGATAAAAATTCCTACCGCTGGCGTGATAAGAGAATTTTAATTATGGTTAATTGAAATGGTCATAAATTTAGAGAACCATAATTAAAGTTTTTTTGTTACGTTAGTATTGAGAAATTTTTATCTTATCAATTGAAGGGAGGAGATCAATTCTAGTTACGTAATACTAAACTTTATGGACCAATCAAGTGTATGGCTCTCATTCGTACATAGGCATTATTCTAACCACATTTAACCAGATTTTTGTAGAAGTAATTTTGTTCAATTGGATAATTACACTTGAATTTGATTTCAATTATGTGATTTTGTCCAAATTCATTACTTGATGTGGCTGAAGTCGCTAAAGTGACGATATAAATAATTTGTTGTCATTTATTTAATTAAAATTGTACTTATCTCATGTAAGCAACTAACAATTGCGTGAAATGATCATTATCATTTGACGAATGACTCGTCATCAATTTAACCATTGTGAAATTGGACACAATTACCTTAATTGAAATTAACTTAAGAGTATACTTATCTTGTTAAACAAAATTAACGTATAATTGATACCGAACGAAAGTATAATTATCGCAAATAGAATTTATACGGTTGTCAAGTTTCAAAAGTTCCAATCCAGCTTTGTTTGACCTCGATGATTTTACTTCATTTGTGGTTCAAAATAACATTATCTTGAAATTGAAGGATGCTTTTTCATATTTACAATTATTATAATATAATCGACAAAATTTATCATCAAATCAAACTCCACTTTTTCTTCAAAAATAATAATTTCCATGCCATCTTCTTCATTTTGGTCTCCCAACAGTCCCCTACTCACACATCTGATCTACTCCACCCCACCCCCAAATCAGGCTCTGGTCCCAATTTTCCACTGGATCTCACTTCCCCCACCCCACAAATTTATACTTCTCAATCAACCTATACATACAGAATCTATATATACACTTTCGGAATCCCTTTTTGAATCATTAGTATCTGTAAATTATCAAGTTTGGATTTTGTGATTGTAATTGGGTAGAATTTGATGGCTTCCGCCAGCAATCAGAACCCACCAGGCGGAGGTCCGTTTGATATGTTCAAACTATTGAAACCTTCTACTCCGCCACCACCCAATTCGACTACTACTGCAAACCCTAATCCGCCAAACCCCAATAGTAATATTAATACTAGCATTAGTAACCCTAATTTGATTTCTTCCCCTTTCTCACCCCCATCAGCCTCTTATCCTCCACCTACTGGCGGCGTTTCTGGTGGTGGGACATACTCATACGCACCTCAGAATTCCCCCTTTCAGTATTTCAGTCACCTCCCTATGTACAGTACTCCTAATCCTACACCACCACGCCCGGACTTTACTAACATGAACCCCCAGAGGTCTATGTCTTATCCCACACCCACGCTCCAACCCCAAGTTCAACCTCCTAATACTCCACACCACCAGAATTTCCAAAACCCCCCAAATTCTCAAATAACTAACAATCATGGGCCGAGACTGATGGCCTTGTTGCCTTCCACCCTTGATGTCCCGCAGCAGCAACCCGTCATGCCAATGCCCCTAATCCACCCAACCTCCTCTGCAGGGTCTGATTTCTCGGTCCCCCAGAATGCGAACTCGTTGCCTTCGGGACCTAGCCTTGGGATTCCACATCAGGGTGCCATGATGCGGATGCCAAGCAGTAAGCTTCCCAAGGGGCGGCATTTGATCGGGGATCGTCTGGTTTATGATATAGATGTGAGGTTGCCCGGCGAGGTGCAGCCTCAACTTGAGGTTACTCCCATTACAAAGTATGGGTCTGATCCAGGTCTCGTTGTGGGCAGGCAGATTGCGGTTAACAAGAGTTATATATGTTATGGGCTTAAGTTGGGCGCTATCCGTGTGCTAAATATTAACACTGCTTTGAGATCATTGCTTAAGGGTCTATCTCAGGTTGGTTTTTTTCCTTAACAAGTGTGGTTTTGTCCTGTTTATTATTTAGTCAAAATGAGGTATTTACTATGTTATTTAAGTGTTTATATTCTTGATTTGGTTTGATTGATTTGGATCCCAATGCTCAGCCTTGTGGTCAAACTGGCCTTGGGTTTTCTTTTCACAGTGCAATATGTCTTGACACATTAAGCTTTATTATGGCAAGCTCCTATAGCTCTCAATATGATGTTCTGCACAAAATTTTCACAAATTTTAATAGGATAAATTCATTCCTTTTAGAGTCCGGTGAATATTATTTTCTGTAATGTATTTTGGTATTCATAGGTGGTGAAAACATGGAATCGACATTATAATTTACAATGTGGTTGTTCACAAAGTGGTAATTTTATAGGATATGTCTTCTTTTAGTTGATATTTAAATTGGCATTCATGATTAACTTTGATTTATCTCTGGAGTAATGTGTTTTCTTTCAGAGGGTCACAGACATGGATTTCTTTGCCGAGGATGTCCACCTTTTGGCTAGGTAGCCTCCTTTCAGTTACTTTTGTGAATCCCATCTTTTGGTTTGTCTAATAGCTATATGTGTGTTATAGTGCAAGCGTTGATGGCCGGATTTATGTGTGGAAAATTACCGAAGGTCCAGATGAAGAAGACAAGCCTCAAATTACTGGAAAGATTGTTATTGCCATTCAAATAACTGGAGAATGGGAGTCTGTTCATCCAAGAGTTTGTTGGCATTGTCATAAACAAGTATACCAGCTTCCTATATCCACGCTTTTTAGTGTACCTCCGTTATTTTCTTTCCTCTTTTGGCAGCTTATCCATCAATTTATTTGATGAAGTAATCTCATATGCTTTCTCATGCAGGAAGTTCTTGTGGTGGGAATTGGCCGGCATGTTTTAAAGATTGACACTACAAAAGTTGGAAAAGGAGAAGTGTTTTCGGCAGAAGAACCCCTCAAATGTCCCATTGACAAGTTAATTCATGGGATTCAACTAGTTGGTAGCCATGATGGAGACGTGACCGACTTATCCATGTCCCAGTGGATGACCACTCGTTTGGTCTCTGCCTCAGTAGATGGCACGGTTTGGAACCTTTGGCCCTGAAGTCTCTCTTAAACTTGTTTTATGTCAAATCTCGTTGAACACTGATGGGGATTTACACAGTAATTTTTGCCTAGTTCTTATATAAACTATGTTTAGCCTATGCTATATATGTGGCTAAGGTAGTTATATTTTCATAGAATTAGCTTCCGACAGATAGAGTTGATTGAAGTGAGCTGGAGCATTCAAGCGAACGGAACTTTTAATTTCTTAAAACTTTGTTGTGGAAGTTGTGAGATTTAAATTTAAGGTATTGCAATCTGACCAGCAACTTGATGTTGATAAGATACGAAGAATAAGAAAATGGGGAAGATATCAAGATCCTGAGCTAAATTGCATATTCTAGTGTATTGTTTAGCGCATAGGATTGCGTTTTATATCTCACTTCAACTTTTGGTTGCATTGAGTCACTTGACATGATGAATTAAACTTCGTTACTTATTCTTGCACTAGTTCAACTTGTGTACAATGTGATAGACCCCAATCCGGTTCAGCAATACATAGTTGCAGCCACGACGACTACTATTCTAGAATGTTCACTAATCAGTTAGTAGAGGGAGAAATAAGTAATAGTGCTATAGAGGGGAGGTCTATAATTGTGAAGAGGGGGGATATGGAGTGAGTAGAAACTTTAGGAGAGTTTAGCCCTCTCAAATGGCTATTGTTTCTGTAATTTTTCTTCGTTTTTTTTTTAATCAATAACAGCAGCATATTTTTTGTTCACAAACTGCAATTAGAATCTTATCAAATTGGTATCAGAGCAACGATCTTAGGGCAATGGCAACAAATTTCAGCAAGGAAATGGAAGAGAGTTGGGGCTTGATATTGAATCGATTGGAAAAAATGATAAGGCAACTAGAAGAGAGAGACCGAGAAGAGGAGTTAGGTTTGGATTCACAAGGGCGACTCATAATCTCCATTTTCTATGGTGATAATACCAAGTGGTGGATCTTTAGGACGGAGGAGATTTTCTCCACGAACCAATTGCTGGAGGCAGAGAAAATAGAAGCGACAACATCCTGTTTTGACTGGGAAACATGGAAATGGTTTCAGGAGGTAGATCAACTACAACCGATGCGAACATGGGATGAATTGAAATGTTTGATGCTGGCTCGATTTTGCAGGAAGGAGGTCTCCATGGTTGAGGAATTTCCATCATGTAAACAGTCGGGTATGGGGAAAGGAGATACTGTGGTGATAGAATCGCTGCGTATGAATTCTGATGAAAAGCTCCAAGCCCATGAGACTGGGAAGAGGAAAGAGGGGAGAATGTTCCATGATCAAAAGCCTACAAAGAAAAAAAACCGATGGAGGTGAAGAAGTCTTCGTTGGTGGAGCAAAGGAAGAGAGGAAAAACGGACGGAAGCCATTTCGCGTTACCAACCCTTATCTCTAAAATTTCACCTAAATATGAGGAAATCAAAGCTGCAATAGGCGACCAGAATTGCAGGGAGGACCGGAGGCTATTCGAAATCATAGCAGCTCCCATGCCGTCATCACTAGAAGAGGGATTGGAGCGTGATTTGGTGAGTGGGCTAAAACCCATGATAGGGGCTGAGGTTAAAATGTTGAATCCTAAAGGTTTGGGCCAAATTAGGGTGTTGGGCCAAGGGGTTAAAGACTGGAATATAAGGAAGCTAGCCTATCTCAATTATGGCCCACCTAAACTTAATACTTATAACCCAAACCTAAATCCATATAGAATTAGAAGTAATATCCATAACCCACACATAAGGCCCAACCTTCACAGCATTAGTCTTCTCAGACACGGCTTCTTTAATCAATTGAGCCGAAATTTAAATCCCAACCCTCACTAAAATTATCTCCAGACAGTTTACTATATCTGCCAAACACTCACCACAATTCAAAAATCTACAGCACCCACAATAAGGCGTTCAATACTGGCAGTGAAAAGGGGTCCGATCAGCTACAATGTATTTTCCGGATCATCAGGTTCAAAACTGGGACAATTTGTGGATAGGGCCAACGGGCTATGGAGTTGCCTTGGATATTATACTTATGATAATTGCTCGATTAAGTAAGTCCATGCATTTCAGAGGGTTGAAACGTTCCTTTTCCATGGGGACCATTATAGGAGTGTTTGCAAGGAAAATGGTGTGGTTTCATGATGAATTGACCAATCCAACAACTTCCACCTTGAGGACAAGGTGGATTTTGGGGTGACGGGTAATGATATTCCCCTATCCGGTTCAACAATACAAACATAGTTGCAGCCACGTCATTTATTATTCTAGAATGTTCTCTAATCAGTGAGTAGAGGGAGAAATAAGTAATAGTGCTATAGAGGGAAGGTCTATAAATGTGAAGAGGGGGGATATGAAGTGAGTAGAAACTTTAGGAGAGTTTAGCCCTGTCAAATGGCTATTGTTTCTGATCTGTTTTTGTAATTTTTCTTCGTTTTCTTCAATCAATAACAGCAACATAATCTCTGTTCACAAACTGCAATTAGAATCCTACCACAACGTATAGCAAGACCACTTTTGTTCTGCTGTTTGACAATTAATTTTGACCTGAGTATGTCGTAAGATGTGAAGCTGGTGATGTGTAAAAGAACATTTCTGTGGGATATTAAGGCCAATGTTCAGATGTTGTAACTTAACTATATTGGTTTGTGAACTTTTCTTTCCTTGTCAGCATTTTTCTTTTGGCTGGACCTCTATACAACTGTGGCTTTAGTGATAAAATCTGTTCCTATCATTTTCCCTAAAATTAATTGTTCTAATTATTTGCAAGTTTGCCCATCTTTGTTACTGTCCGAAAAAGACCTAGTTCATTTTGGTTTACACAACATGATTTTGATCATTCAGATAATGACTATGAAATTTGTTGAAAGATAACCAAATTTTCATGATTTCGAGGAATGGTAACCTGATAATGAGTCAATGTTTGTCGTGCTGCTGACATCTCACCAGATCTAAAGTTGATAAATCTAGCATTTCTGATTAAGCAATTGAAATGGGCCCTGAGATATTGTCTTAGAACCAGTGGATAAGTGGCGTTTGTAATTGTCACTGATTTTGGTAATGTCTCCTGATTTGAATTGCTGGATGACCATTGTATGCATGCTTTGGTTATATCATGATTCTGCAGACATACTTGGAATAGTTGGACAAACACTTTGTGAGTCTTTCACTCACTTCTTCTTGTGATTGCAGATAAAGATTTGGGAAGATCGCAAGTCCCTACCAATTGCAGTTCTCCGGCCACATGACAGCCAACCTGTTAATTCTGTCACATTTTTGGCTGCTCCTAATCGCCCAGATCACATCATACTTATTACTGGGGTACACACATCAGAATATCTTTCTTTTAGTACATTGTTTAAATATTCTGGGGTAAAGTTGTAATGCAATTTAAAATTCTCCTATTCTTTGAGGGGCCCCTTATCATCAACAGCATTATAAAAGAGAACTTTGCTGTTGCCAATGAATTGATAATTATTTGTGTATGCTAGTCTGCTTTCTACTCTTTGACTCATTTCATCTCTTATGTTTCTGTCTTTAACTATGTCAAATGTGCTGTTGCTTCTGAATTGTATCTACTGCATTTGACTTCTTAAGGATACGTTCAGGGTCCTTTGAATCGGGAACTGAAGATATGGGCATCTTCAAGTGAAGAAGGGTGGTTACTTCCTAGCGAGGCTGAATCGTGGCGCTGTACTCAGACATTGGAATTGAAGAGTTCGGCGGAGATGCAAGTAGAAGAAGCGTTCTTTAATCAAGTTGTAGCTTTGTCACACGCTGGTCTTCTTTTGCTGGCAAATGCCAAAAGGAATGCTATATATGCTGTGCACTTAGAATATGGCCCTAACCCAGCAGCAACCCGAATGGATTACATAGCAGAATTCACTGTCACTATGCCAATACTGAGTTTTACTGGGACGAGTGAAGTACTACCTCATGGTGAACAGATTGTTCAGGTGTATTGTGTCCAGACTCAGGCTATTCAGCAGTATGCTTTGGACTTATCACAATGCCTGCCACCCCCAATGGATAATATGGTGTTTGAGAAGTTGGACTCTAGCATCTCAAATGATTCTAGTACTATTGAAGGGCTTGCCAATTTGGGGCCTTCTGGCAATAAATCTACTGAAACACCTTTGTCTAGTTCAACAACAAAACCATCTGAGCGTGAAAATGGTTCAGAGAATGCATCTTCGGAGAGATACCCCATCAGTGCTGCTTCTGCTGAGTCACACACCTTACAAGAGTTCTCTACTCCGAATATAGAAATCAAACCAGTTCCTTCATCTCTAGTGACTAATATTGCTGGTGTTTCTTCTGTTGCTTCACCTCCACTTCCTTCGAGCCCCAGGTTGTCCAGGGAACTTTCTGGTTTTAGAAGTCCGTCAAGCTGCTTTGAGCCTGTTCCTGTGGTGAATGATCGTGATGCAGATCCTAAAGTTGTCGAATATTCAGTTGACGGACAAATGGATGCTGTTCATGCAAAATCGTCTGATGGTACTTTAATGGATGGTGATCCGATCAATGATGAAAATAAAATTTCTCAAGATGATATTTCCTCGTCTCCTGAGCAGCATAGTAAGTTTAAGCACCCCACTCATCTGGTAACTCCTTCTGAGATATTGATGGCTAGTTCATCTTCTGAAGTGAACCGTGCTAATGAACCCAAAAGTGATCATGAACTAAACATTCAGGATGTGGTAATTAGCAATGATACACAAAATATGGAGGTGGAAGTCAAAGTTGTAGGTGATACAATATTTGCTCAAAATAATGATATTGGTTCACAAGAAGAACTTCACAATTTTGGGTCAGAGAACAAGGAGAAATCCTTTTATTCTCAAGCCTCTGATCTAGGAATTGACATGGCTCGAGAATGTCAAGCATTACCAGCTGATACTTATATAGTAGAGGAAACTAGACAGTTAGATGGGACTGGTGGAAGTGAGTCTGTAACCCAACCTTCAACTCCAGATGAAGAAGTCCATGACTCTACAAAGGAAGTATCTAAGAAGGTTGCCGATTCGTCATTACCTATGCCAGTTCAGCAACCACCTGTGCCAAGTACAAAAGGGAAAAAACACAAGGGAAAAAGTACTCAAGGATCAAGCCCATCTTCACCATCACCTAGTGCTTTCAATTCAACAGATTCTTCTAATGAACCAGGCGTCAACTCAAGCAATCCTTCTGTAGAAACTGCATTTGCACAAGTTTTGTCCATGCAAGAGATGCTTAATCAGGTTATTTAATTGGAGCTTATCTCTCGAACTTTGCTTCTGTATTTTTTCTTCACCGTATACAAATATAATTTCATTATTATACTTGGGACTGATGTTATTCTTATTTCTTACAACAAGTATACCAGAGGGATGTATTTGATAAATACATCATTCTGAATACTTGGGTCTTTCGGAGCTGTTATATCCTCTTCGACCTCGTAGTTTGTTTTGGTCTGGAAAGTATGCATATTTTGTTTGAATTGTCTATTTATGTAATTGTTTGACCTATCATTATTCTGGGCTCAAGTAATTTCTTCTCCTGGAATCAGGTTTTGTTTTTGAACTGAAATTTTGTTTTTCTTCCCAAGAAATTTTATGCAATCCTTTGGCCAGACCCTTCTTGTCATAGTGCCGGATCATTTTTAATTAGTTGTCTTACATTGAGCCAATTGCAGACCCAAGATTATTGGGATTGGTTTTTTCCTCTCTCTCTCTTTGGGTTTGTTTTTTTTCTCTCTCTCTCTCTCTCTCTCTCTCTCTCTCTCTCTCTCTCTCTCTCTCTCTCTTTTTAAAGTTTTATCGGTTGTGCATCACATAGCATATATGTTAGTATATATTAGCGACCAAAAGTAATTGTCCACGATATATTTTGTAGTCTGTGAAAAATTGCACACTCACCCTTACCCTCTTTTTTATCAGCTTGTTGCTACACAAAAAGACATGCAGAAGCAGATGACAGGGATGGTTGCTGTCCCAGTTACCAAAGAAGGCAGAAGACTTGAGGCAGCACTGGGACGAAGGATGGAGAAGGTTGTTGAGGCCAATGCTGATGCTATGTGGGCTCGGTTTCAGGAAGAGATTGCAAAACAGGAAAAGGCATCACGGGATCATACACAGCAACTGACAAATATGATAAATAATTGCATAAGCATGGACTTGCCATCAATTGTTGAGAAAACTTTCAAGAAAGAAATAACGGCAGTTGGACAAGCTGTAGCACGCACAATTATTCCCTCTATTGAGAAAACAGTATCCACATCAATCACAGAGGCCTTCCAGGTTAGAATTTCCCATTTTATATCTTCGTTTGACTGTCTTCTGTTGTTATCTAATGGTAATCCAGATCCTAATGGATTTCATGTTATCAGAAAGGAGTGAATGATAAAGCTGTGAATCAATTGGAGAAATCGGTCAGCTCTAAACTAGAAGCCACAGTTGCTAGGCAAATCCAAACTCAATTCCAAACTTCTGGCAAGCAAGTACTTCAGGTAAAGAGATAAGTAGAAATTTTGAAACAACACTTTGATGTCTGTTGTCATGATGTTGAGCTTTAAACAATTAATTTCCTTTTTTGCTCTCCATAAAATGATGTAAGGCAAGAAAATGCATGTCAAAATAATGAGGGCTTTTGTTTGCAATGTGTTGTTTTGTTGAGGGTATAACCAAGAAGTCTGATAAATAAATAATTAGTTGTGTTGTGAAATGATGCTCTTATTTGGGTACATTCTACGTTGGAAAGAGTAGAAAAACAATGGAAGTAACTAAATTAGCATAATATGCATGCTTGTAGAAAGACTTCAAATTATTTTTTGGAATTGCTTCTGTTGTGTTATCAGTTGTACCTTATTTGTTGTTTCTTTCCACTCTGATGTCTGTATATGCGTCTGCTGGCCACAATACCTACCTTTTATACTCTTTGAGTTGGAAAGAATAATTTCATTGTCTGTGCAGCAATCCCGCTGCAACAACATTTTCTTGAGAAACACACTAATAAATTTCTTTTGGAGATAAAAATCAGCCCATTCTTTCTGTTGCTTTATATTTTAATATTTTCTGTTTGGATCAGAATTATGTTATTTGGTTTGTCAATTTGGTAAAGTGAGCAGAACTTCCTGATTTTACATGATAATTTGGTAAACCTCTCCTCTTTCTCTCCTATCTTGACCCCTTGCCACTGACTTGCACATCATAAGAATTGGTAATTGGATGTGGACGTCGCTAGTGTGGCCTAATGAATCTGGACAACTTTGATTGATATACCTTTTTTTTTTTTTTTTTGGTGGTATAATGCAGGAAGCTTTGAAATCTAGTTTGGAAGCTTCTGTGGTACCTGCTTTTGAGATGTCATGCAGAGCAATGTTTGAGCAAGTTGATGCTGCTTTTCAGAAAGGAATAGTTGAACATACCGCCACAGCTCAGCAACATTTTGAGTCTTCACATTCACCACTGGCAATTGCTCTAAGGGTACATAATTTAGCTGATTCTGCATCTTTGTTTCTCTTGGTAGTTTGAAGTTGATAACCCAATCAGTTAGTCGGTTGTCCTGGTGGTTTCTTTAGTTTGTTATCCATATACCCTAATAATTCACTCTACTTGTTTTAGGATGCTATTAGTTCAGCATCGGCCATGAATACTTTAAGCAGTGAGTTACTTGACGGTCAAAGAAAGTTGTTAGCATTAGCTGTTGCTGGTGCCAATTCTAAAGTACCAAATCATCCATTGCTTAGCCAACTCAGTAATGGTCCCTTGGGCGGTCTCCATGAGAAGGTCTGCTCTATTCTCCTTGTTTGTTTGGCGTTTTGGTAAAAGACATTGCGATCTGAAATGATAGCTCTCTTTGCTGCTGTCAAAAGTATTTATAGTTGCTATGCCTTCTGAATTGATAATTTCCTGTTTCAATAGCTTGAGGTACCTCTTGATCCAACGAAAGAGCTTTCAAGATTGATTGCTGAGCGTAAATATGAGGAGGCTTTCACTGCAGCCCTTCAAAGGAGTGATGTTTCTATTGTATCGTGGTTATGCTCTCAGGTTGGTTCTACTATGCTGTTTTCTGAGCCTCAGATATGCTTTTATGAATTGTGCTTTGCATTGCTGTGTTTAAGATCCGGATTTTTCATGCCTGATATATTAAGAAGAAAATTATTGAGTAGAGTAATGAACTAAATGTTACTATTCTTAATTAGATGTTGAATTAAGCTACTTGTACAAAAATGTCTTGACAGAGCACCTCAGCGTCTGTCAAAGAAGCTGTTAAAAAGAACTGTACATGTAGCGTGGTTGTTAAATTTCAGACATGGTTAAGCATTTACATCGCATTGTCACTTGACAAATGCTAAGGTAAATTTATGTCATTTGAAAAGGGTTTTTTAGTTTAATTTTGACACCTGTGACGGTGCTTGCTGAATTCTATCCGGGTTTGGGTTTGACATTTGGTGGAGATTCTGGAACAATGTGGACTTCAGACAAATTCCTCGATTTTATTCTTTGGGAAGTGTAAAATTAATTCCCTTCTTTAAACAGTGTATTTGTTACAGTTAAAAAGTCAAATTCACATCTTGTTTTTGTGGAAGTTCAATATCTCGTGCATTTTCCTGCTTTGCAATCCCATATTGCTTTCTTGTTTTTCCAAGTTCTGTTTGCATGTTAGTTTTTGCCACAATGCTCTTTTCTGTTCTACCAGGTTGATTTACCTGGAATTTTATCGATAAATCCCCTCCCTTTGAGCCAAGGTGTTCTCCTCTCTCTTCTGCAACAATTGTCTTGCGATATTAGCAAAGAGACACCTCAGAAACTAACATGGATGCGGGAGGTTCTCTCTGCCATAAATCCGACCGACCCAATGATTGTGGTGCACGTCCGTCCCATATTTGAGCAAGTATATCAAGTATTGAACCACCATCGCAACCTTCCGACCACTAATGGCTCCGAGCTTCCCAAAATTCGGCTGATCATGCATGTCATAAACTCCATGCTCATGACCAGTAAATGATTACAAGTAAAAGCACCGGGATAAGAGAAATACAGAGGACGTGGTGGATTCGAAATGTTTGTACAAAATTCTAGAGAGTTTCAAGTCGAGGGAATAAGGCGTGTAAAGTTGAACCTTTTTTTTTTTTTTTCGATTTCTTTGGTTTTCCCCTTTCTTTCTTGAAATGTGTAGATGTTTGAGTGGACTTTTGGGTATTTTCTGATAGTAATTTGTTTGGATAATGTGCAGTTTTGTACTTGTATGACTTACCTTTGCAATTTTATATGAAGTTGTGATTTTCCCCAGTTTGCAGAATTGCTTTGTGCACTTTGCACAGTGTGCTATGTCGTCTATGCTGAATTTGAGGATAATATAAGCCCATGATTGGCTTTCATTTTTTTCTTTAAAATTATTTTTAAGTGCATCTTTCATTGGAACCATAATTTTTATCAAAACCATGCAAGGGCTAAAAGTAATTGTAATTGCGGGTATTGATTGTTGGGGTACTGGTGCTGGTGGAGCGGTGATTCTGGGGACGGGTCGAGGAAGTGGGGGATATTTTTCATATCCTTTTTTCTTCTCTCTTTTTTGGGTTGCCAAGATGGATGCTAAGGGCCCGTGTGGTAATAATTTTTGCTTCTTGTAAAATAACTTTATGAAAAGCTAGTTTAGACAAGTAATCTATTTATTTTTAATTTTTGACAAATAAAAGTATCCACAACCATTTTTTGAAAACACTTTCCTTCTCTCTCTCTTTTCATATACTCAATTTTAACTAAATATTTACACAATAAAATGTTTTAGAATTAATTTTAATTTTTTTTTCTTTTTAACGTTTTAATTACACATACTTTCGTTTGAACTTATTTGAAGCCATATTTGATAGAAATTAAAATTAAAATTTTAATATAAATCAAAATTACCATTAATTTTAATCACGTATCTTAAAGGTCATACAAATTTTCAATCATAAATTTTATCAAAATTTATTAAAAATATAATTTTAATTCCCATCAGTTTTTAAAATTCGCCACACACACGTAAAGCAAAGTCAAACATGTTGGAAATTCGGACACGTAGGACAAAGACGTACACGGAACGAGACAGAAAAATAAAAAAGACAATTAATTTTTGTTTTTTTACCCCCTCACATGAGTGGAATCTTCTTGAACAAAATAAAAAATCGACTGAGACAATATTATTATTATTTTTATTTTTTTGGTAAATATTTATGAATAGTGAATACTAACACAATTTTCTCTACGATGGAAATACAATCTATTCAATCATTCTTGCAGCAGTTACTTGAGTTGAAAGCATATTCAAGTGCTCTGGGAAAAAAAAAAAAAATCTTGAAAACAAGAAAATGGTTGCCGGTGAAGAAGCTCATATATTTCTATCCGATGGAAATTTGAGTGTTTCCAGCAACTGTATTCTCACTGATATTCACGACAACATTCTGTTAACTCCAGCGGAAACCCATAATGGGACTTTCATTGGGGTTAAATCTGATCAGATCGGAAGCCGCCTGGTTTTTCCTATTGGAAAACTCAAGTAAATTTGTTTATTTATTTCTAGTAAGAATGGTCTGTTTTTATGTTCTTGGAGAAGTTAGTAGAGCTCACCTTTAAACTTAACTCGGCTTGTAAAAATGGAGGTTGCCTAAATAGTAATTAAAAACTTTTGCCATTTGTTTAATGGTGAAACATCTGTAGATAGAATAAAAGAATAAGTAATGTTTTAATATTTCAAGGATTTTGAACTTCTTTGTCGAAAAGTTAAGTCATTAGAGAGGTGGAGAGTGGCGACAATACTTGGAATCAGGTTCTACGAGGCTCTGATGAACCACCCAGTTTAAAAACTTGAGAAAAGAGTCACATTTAAATGCTATATTCAATAAGAGATTTACAGTTATGCTATAAGTAAAGTGCATATTTAAGGGATTGATCTTCCTTCCAATGGAATTATAAACCTACAACAAGTCTTAGTTTAGCAATATTAAATTTGGTAATTTGTGTTTAGCAATAAGCCTTAGTCGTACTCCTTGATACATTTGAGAAGTGAAACAGAGAACGGAGTGAAATGAGTGGGGCACTTGGGCTTGACTGGCAGGGACAAGGTGGGCAAAGGGTTAAGCCACTAATGTCGCGGTGAAGGAGGCCTACTTTATGTATACTAGATTAGTAAGCGGTGAAATACCAAAAAAGTGCCACCACCAATTTAATATTGACTTTACCCTCAGCTTGTGGGGATTTCACGCAGTTTCAGAGCAGTTCTTATACTTCCAGGAAAAAAGCTCTTTCTTCTTTTTACTTAGGATCACCCTTTTGCTAAACTGGGAAAACCATGTTTGTTGATACCTCCTAAGATAGCGGCTGTTCAATTGTCCGCTGCTATTACAGCTTGAAAGGGAGTAAACTCTAATAGAAAATGTTACAACCACATTAGGTGGAACTTGCCATTAAAACTAATAATAAATGGAGTGTGTGAAAGTGGTTAAAGTTTAAAAATCTAGACTTAATTTAGCAATGTGGGATTCGGTAATTTTGTGTTGATGTGAGTTGCTCTTGATTTGCAGGGGATTAAGATTTATGTGTCTTTATCGTTTCAAGTTGTGGTGGATGACACAGTGGATGGGAATATGCGGCAAAGATATACCTAATGAGACACAGTTTTTGATGTTGGAAGTACCAAACACCTATCATTTTGTAGAAGAAACTGAAGACGGAGTAAACCAATCTCAATCAGTGTTTTACACCGTTTTCTTGCCCATTCTTGAGGGGGATTTCAGGGCTGTTTTTCAGGGGAATGCCAACAATGAATTGGAGATTTGCTTGGAAAGTGGTACAACATTAATATTTAAAATATAATAATTTATAAATTCTTAACAACATATAGTCATATGGATTAAAAGTTGAGTTTCTGTTGCATTTTGCAGGGGATCCTGCGGTGCAGGAATTTGAAGGGAAACATCTGGTTTATATGGCTGCTGGGTCCGACCCTTATGATGTCATTGCAAACGCAGTGAAGTACGTTCAATTCAGTCCTCATTTTGATATCTGATCTAATCTCAATATTCAACATTTCTTTGACGTAGAATTCTGAGATTAGACAATCAAAAACTAAGTTCATTCACAATAAATTTGAGATAAATTGCATGAATCTTTTTTTGCCACTTCGTTTGGTTACAGCGTGCTGTTAGTATGGGGCGCCCCGACGAAGTGTGTATCATACAGTTAATGTTTTAAGGTTATGGGATCAAGAATGTAGATATATTATTTAGATTCATTTGTAAGGTATAAACTCATTAATCTCATAATTAAGTTCTTGGTCCCTTACTCATTAGTAGTATTGGAATTTACTATGTTCTTTTGATCTAACTAAAAAGGCTTTTACACTTAGTCCAGTATGACAGTTGGTTCAAAACCAGAAAAATGTAAGAAAAGTGTACTTTTGCGGTTCCACTGATTTTTCTTAAGCAGCAAGGCTAGTCAACATCCAGCTCTTTTGATTAGATATTGCATCATTTTTTGTTATAACAAAAATGGTTGCTTTTTCCCTCATGCATAAATATAAGTTAAGTTTAATGGAATTATTGATGCTGAACAGATCTTTGGAAACTCATTTGGGGACATTCTGCCATCGTGACAAAAAGGAGGTTCCAAAATATTAGTTCTAGAGAAAGCTATTTCTTTGATATACCGTCTTATGAGTACATTTCAACATTTTCATTCCAATGACTTTGTTCTTCTTCATTGTCAGATGCCCGACTTGATGAATTGGTTTGGATGGTGCACATGGGATGCTTTTTATACTGATGTCACAGCTGAGGGGGTGAAACAAGGATTAGAAAGGTATTCAATGTTCCTACCCATTTATTTGAATTTTGTCGAGTATTGAGGGACTTTTGTGTTGAACCAGATGTAATCTTATTATTCAATAATGGGAAAGGACTACAAAGAGGATAATGTAAAGTGTAAAGCCCTGAACCATATAGCCCTAATAGAAGAAAAAGCCAAACTGCCCCTTAATAGAGAAACAAAATTTACTAAAATCTAACAATTTGCAGTAGAACACAAGCATGACTAGTATTGTTTTCTTGTAGTTTGGAGAGAGGCGGAGCTTCGCCAAAGTTTGTAATTATAGACGATGGATGGCAATCAGTCTGTATGGATACCACCAGTGTCGAAGCCAAATTTGACGACACTGCCAAGTAAGCATCTATTTAAAATGTTATTCGGAATGTGTTTGCATCTTGCCTTGCCTCTTACCTATTAGCAGCTGAAAATCAGTATTCTTTTGTTTCCAGCTTTTCAAATCGGTTAATTCATGTTAAAGAGAACCACAAATTTCAGAAAGATGGTGGAGAGAGTTCCGAGGTGGATGATCAGTCAATAGGATTTCGCCAAATTGTTACTGAGATCAAAGAACAATTTTCTTTGAAGTAAAGCATTTATAAGTAAAATTTTAGATTATTCTTGTTGAATTAATTTATGCTTGGCACTTGTTACGTTTTTTTTCTTGATTTTGTAGGTACGTTTATGTGTGGCATGCAATAGTGGGGTACTGGGGAGGCGTTATGCCCGGCGTAGCTGAAATGGAACAGTATGAACCCACGATAGTAAACCCCATTCCATCCCCTGGGGTTGAGTCCAATGGCATTTGTTTCGTCTTAAGGAGCATTATGAAAAATCGGGTTGGCCTTGTGAACCCAGAGAAAGTTTACGCCTTCTACAATGACCTGCACTCTTACCTAGCTTCTGTTGGCGTAGACGGGGTTAAAGTAGATAATCAAAGCATACTAGAAACTCTAGGAGCGGGCAATGGTGGAAGAGTGAAACTTGCAAGGAAATACCATGAAGCATTAGAGACGTCCATCTCTAAGAACTTCCCAAGTAATGAAATTATTTCTTGTATGAGTCACAGCACAGATGCCTTGTACAGGTAGAGAATCCTTCCACGTCCCCGCTTATGTTATTGCGTACCAAATATGCAATTAAAAATCTTGTGGCTTCGTAATACTAAGTTTCTGATCCATTTAATTCTAGATATCTTTAACTTGATTGTGGCAGTGCAAAGCAAGCTGCTGTTATTAGGGCGTCCGACGATTTCTTTCCAAGAGATCCAGCATCACACACGATCCATATCGCATCAGTTGCTTACAACACCATTTTCATTGGCGAGTTTATGCAGCCTGACTGGGACATGTTTCATGTGAATCTGCCTTTTTATTTTCAATTTCCTCTCTCTAAAATCTAGCCAATAATTCTTCATTCTGTGTGACTGAAATATTTGTTCACAATTCTAAGTTATTAAATGTCAACTTAAGAATTGCTTTCTTCTTGCAGAGCTTGCACCCTATGGCTGAGTACCATGGAGCAGCTCGTGCCATTGGAGGCTGTTCAATCTATGTCAGGTGCTCTTTTGTGATTCAAATTCATATTTGTGGCAGGACATTTGGTCACACTACACTGTTTGCAAATTATAAAACCGTATATCATGCAGTGACAAACCCGGGCACCATGATTTCATCGTCTTGAAGAAACTTGTACTCCCCGATGGTTCCACGTTGAGGGCCAAACTTCCTGGAAGACCAACTAGAGATTGCTTGTTTTCTGATCCTACCAGAGATGGGAAAAGGTATGACATAGAAAGATCTTAAGCATTCTTGAAACTCCCTTGTCTTGTTTGATAGACAAGACAGGAAAGCAGCGGACAGTATTAAGTTCATTATACTGAGCATTTTTGGCTGTCTAATAATAACAACTTATTGATTTTGTTGCAGCCTTCTGAAAATTTGGAATATGAATGACTTCACCGGAGTTCTTGGGGTGTTTAATTGCCAAGGAGCTGCATGGTGTCGAGTTAATACGAAGAATCTCGTCCACAATGAACAGCCCGGTGCAGTGTCCTGCACCATCCAGGCTAAGGATGTTCATTATTTGACCAACATTGCTGAGCATGGATGGACTGGAGATACTATTGTGTATTTGCATAGAGGCGGTAAGTTTTTTTCCGCTTAACACCTAATACTGTGGATTCATTGAACGTCCTTAGTGAATTGAACGAAAGACTTCTCCTTAAGAGAGACTTATTGAATGCTGGTACCAACTATGCAACTTGTCCAATTTGGTTCACTGAGTTCTTGTTGATGCCAATTGCAGGAAATGTGCTTCATCTTCCGAAGAACAAATCCCTGCCGGTTCAACTTCAAGCTCGGGAATACGAAGTCTTCACAGTCGTTCCAGTCAAACGGTTATCTAAAGGGGCTGCTTTTGCTCCAATAGGTCTCCTCAAGATGTTCAATTCTGGTGGAGCAATTACAGAACTAAACTATGGATCCCCGGAAACCGGAATTATTAACATTAGGGTTCGCGGTTGTGGCGTGTTTGGGGCCTATTCATCAGTCAGACCTGAAAGAATATTGATTGATATGAAAGAAGAGAAGTTTGATTATGAAGAAAGGTCTGGTTTGATCAGCCTGAATTTAAGGGTTTCAGAGAAAGAATTGTACCAATGGAACTTGACAGTTGAGCTTTGAAGAAATTTTATGAATCCACTTTCTAAGCAATTTAAAGGCCTGCTCGGATATTAGAGTCCGTTGCTGTTGTGTAGCAATAGATTGGATTGGAGTCCGTCACTGTTAGTCAAGTAATTCGGTCACAAATTCTGATCATATTTTTCATTATAGTTTCTAGTATGGTGATGTAAAATTACACCGTAATAATAGCAATAACCTGTGATGTAAGTTACAATTTCAAAAAATTACATATAGCCCTTGTTTGAGCCCCATTTTTGCCAAGAAAATGCGTTTTTGAATAGTCATATGACGTGAAATGTGTGGTTAAAAAATAAGGAAAAGTTTTAGATTTTCGTGTAATATTATTTTATTGAATAATATGTGATTGAAATAATGTCAAAACATTCTTTAAAAATATATTTTCTCAAAAAAAAAAGAAAAAAGGGACCCAAACAAAGGCTTAATGTGATACAATTAATAATATGAGATCCACGCGCCCCAGGGCACATTTTCAAGTGGTAAAAGGGGAGGATGGAGAAATCTAGCTTTGTTTGAGGCTGCTGCGTCAAGAGTTCGAATCCTAAAATATAGATTTGGCTCTTGGATAAGTGCAAATGTATAAGCAGCCTTTCACCCTGTACCCTTGGAGGCATAATCTGCGATTTACCTCCCTCACGATACTCCAGGGTAGGGGCGACGGGACCCTTAAAATTGGGGTTCAACCTTTTAATAATATGAGATCCACGTTTTGAATCGATTAATGTGTACTCCTTTTAACTTTCACTGTTGTAGTCACCAACTATTAATAAAATTTTCCCTTATAGCCCTCATGGTGTGTAAATTTAGACTGAAAATGAAGGGCTCCATGGTAAAAATGTCCTCCAACTGTTGGATGGACGTTTAAAGGTTTCTGACCCACAATGAATTATCTTTAGGATAATTCTTGTTGTACATAACGGTGTCTTCCAACTCATATGGGTGGGGTCCACTTGCATATTTATATTCAGGTGGGCTCCACTCATGTGAGTGGGAGATACTATTATGTAGAATTTTTCATGTACACATAGCACACTCCGTTGAGGATAATACTCTAGCAAAACGGTAGTGGTTTGAAAAATGAGATTTAATGGGGGAAGGGATAAATATAAAATGAAGAAATACATAGGCATAAAAAAAATTATAGAAAATTATATACACATTAACAGAAAAATGGCATAATTAAAGTCAAACCTAATGTTTAAAATTCCTATTCATTCACATAATTTTCTAATTGTGTAATTAATCCTTATTAATACCTAACGTGCACGTTTTCAATATCCTAGTGGTGGATAGCGCACGAAGTCATTTTCCTCGCCATCCCATCCATTACAGCTTTAAATTTCATGAGAAAGAATATTATACCTTAACGTTAATGGCTTCAAAATCAAAATCCTTATTGGCCGTTAACCAAAAAATATGACGGGCGAGACTAGTATATAATTTTGAAACCTCTGTGTCTATGGCGGCGAAAACAGGCGGAGATGATTTGCAGACTCCACTCTCGGAGTCGGATTCAAGTTTTTCTGATAACGATGAACCCTTCAAAAACGGTGCGCTTTTTGTTTAGATATTCATCACTCATCTATTTATTTAGTGTAGATTAATCGCCATTTATCAAATTCCTGTCAATATTATATCATCAAAACCAATCAGATAGTGTTTCCATTTTAAAGGTTACAACTGTTGGTGGGAAAAAAGTGCTCATTCCGATCATTCTTATGCTTTTTTCTTTTTAAATTTGTGGGCCTGTTTTACCAGAAAGTTGCTTCATTGACTTGTATATTGTGCTTATCTTTATCAACTTTTTCTTCTTTTCAGCCCTTTGCTTAAACTTTAATCAATCGGGTCCCTTTTTCACGCTGAAGCAACATCAACTTGAGAAGTTTAATATGTCATTAAGTTCATTAGAATATGATTGATGTAACCCGGTAGCATTTGTTTAACTTTCCCTTTTGTTAACTTGCAATCTGGTTCGTTTGTTCTGGTTAATGATGCAACTATACTTTCCACAGAGTATAAATTGGGAATCTAAAAAGATTGTAGTTGATTCAATTATTCGCCCTTGACGTTTGAAAGTGGACCATACTTTATAATAATATCAATAGAAGTATTATTGAGTACGTAGACAGTGGAATGGAATCGAGAAAATTGGTTCATGTAACCGAATGCAAATATGTTGGGGAATAGAGCTTAGTTTTGTTGTTTATAGTGATGGGAAGAACAAATGGAGTGGAGAAAAGGGATTCTTTTGATCGTAGATATATTATTAGTTTGGCTTAGTCTGTTAGTTGTATTATTGAATATGTGTGATCCTCCATCAGAAAAATCAGGGAATGTGTGGACGGCTTTGGCACATATAATAACAGCAGTAATAGGTTCTGGAGTACTTTCTTTAGCATGGAGCATATCACAGCTCGGGTGGATTGCAGCTCCAATTACCATGATTGCATTTGCATCCGTCACCCTTACTTCTGCAATGTTTCTCAAAGAGTGCTACAAATCACCCAATCCCGCCTGTGGTTCTGCAAGAAATGGTTCCTACTTAGACGCTGTTCGGACAATTCTAGGTAAGATGTTTTTTCAGAGGAATGTGAACAACGTCCTATGCATTTTCTTTTCTTTTTCCGTTCATAGAATCCTAAAATTCTGTATCTGTTAATTTTAATACATGGAGCATTCTTAAAAAAAGTAAGTATTTTTAAGATCTGTTTTCAAACATCTTGGGTAACTTTTTTTTTTTTTTTTTTTAGTAATAAAGAAGTTCTTAAGGGTCATTTTTATCAGCTTATATTATATCTTCCTTCCAAGTTGCACTTATACTAGATTAGATAGCAGTTAATTTCAGTGGAATTGTAAGAAAGCTAGCATCTCAGAAATGAAGTTTTACTCGGATGCTAAGCATTGATAATTTTTTCTGGTTCGATAATAAACTATTGTTGTTGGAATTAACATGGAAATATACTTTTGCTTGAATGCCATAAATAAGCTCTATTTACTGCTCCTAGTGCTATTTGTTTTAAAGCAACGTGGATTTTTCGGTTTAATGAAAAGAATAAAGTAAACTTCAGCCAGTGGTCTGACTGGAGTCTGCACTAGCCAGTGGTCTGACTGGAGTCTGCACTATGTTAAGTGACATTCGAACTCAAAAGATGGTGACATCGAATTCTACAAGGTCGAGATGCATTATGTTTCCTCCAGCTCTTATTTATTTGCCTACATACATGCTCAAATAGTAGAAGTGCATTAATTTGTCTTGTAGAGAAATTCAATTTTTTCTTTAAACAAATTTAGAGTAGATTTTATCGTTAATCTTCCCCTTTTCTTGTCAGGAAAAAAGAATGCTTGGGTATGTGGCATTATTGTGCGAATAAATTTCATCAAGCTAGGTATCGTGTACACGATTACATCCTCCATTAGCATGAGGTATGTTGACAAGTACTTCCTTTCTTCTCTCTCTCTCTCATGATGAGACATGATTTCAATAAAAGTTAAAGAGAGGAGAGATCACAAGGAATATTCTTATATGGCACGCTCCAGTTTCTAAGGAGGTAATTGCTTTATATCTAACATGAACCGGGCGGAATGGCAAAGAAGGTTTCATGTAGCTAACCTCCTCAAATTTACTATGAAAAAGGCGTAGTTTATTGTTTTTATGATGTGACTTATATGTTCTATCATGTTTTGCATCAACGTTGTCATTAATATGTGGTTATCTATAGTTCTTAATTTTCGATTCAGAAGACTTTAAATCCTCATTTTGTGGTTATTGTTTCGGTTGATGCAGAGCAATTCAGAGATCAAACTGTTACCATAATGAAGGGCATGAAGCTGCTTGTACATACAGGGTTACTTACTACATGCTCATATTTGGAATTATCCAAGCCCTCGTATCTCAAATACCTAATTTTCGAAATACTGAATGGCTCTCTGTCATTGCGGCAATCATGTCCTTTACATACGCTACTATTGGATCTGCACTTGGCTTGGCAAAAGTAATAGGTAGGTCAAGAATATGAAAAATATAACTTCAACTTGATAAAATGTGCAAAGTTCTTAAAAGTTTTTGGACCACTTAACCTTAATTTATAGAAAATGGAGAGATAAAAGGTAGCATTGGAGGAGTGCCTACTTCGACTCCTGCTAAAAAAGTATGGGCAGTTTCTCAAGCGCTTGGGGACATAGCCTTTGCTTTCCCATTCTCTGTTATTTTCCTAGAGATACAGGTCAGGAAATTTACTTCTGAGAACAATGTTTAGTATACAATATTACATCGTACTAGAAAACTACAACAAACAAAATTTTAGTTCTTTTTCTTTCTTAATACAATCTAGTGCTATGGAATCCACCTTACTAAAGCAACATTAAACAATAGCGTAGATTTGATAAAGAACGTCTAAACTTTATAATACTTGCAGGATACTCTAAGGTCAAATCCACCGGAAAAAGTCACCATGAAGAAGGCATCTATTATGGCAGTCTGCATTACAACATTCTTCAACCTCTGTTGTGGAGGTCTTGGGTATGCAGCTTTTGGGAATTCAACTCCTGGGAACCTTTTGACAGGATTTGGTTTTTACGAGCCATATTGGCTCGTTGACTTTGCTAATGCTTGTGTCGTTCTTCATCTTGTTGGAGGATATCAGGTATTTGTCTTTCTTCCTAGAATTCAAGTGTGTGTTGATAAGCTCAAAAGCCAAAAGGTTTACTTAAAAGAAAATAAATAAGGTTTTTATTGGTAGAAGTTGGAAAAAACTAAGTTACTTATTTCGAGAATAAGATAGCATTATTATCAAGATAAGTTTCTTCATAAATTCCATATGTGTGTGATGCTTTATCCTTTCTTCGGAATATGCATTTTTAGGTATTCAGTCAACCACTTTTTGCAATTACTGAAAGATGGATTGTTAAGAAGTTTCCCAACTGTCAAACATTGCACAAAGATTACAATCCAAAATCAATACCGGGTTTGAGGCTAAATCTTCTAAGGTTGTGTTTCCGAACTGCTTATGTTGCATTCACCACTGGTTTTGCCATACTTTTCCCGTACTTCAACCAAGTTGTCGGTGTGGCAGGAGCAATAAACTTCTGGCCTATTGTTGTATATTTCCCAGTGGAAATGTACTTGGTGCAGAAAAATATTGGGCCTCAGACAAAAAAGTCGATTATTCTTCGAATATTTTGTTTTGTTACATTGGTTGTGATACTATTTGCCTTTGTTGGTTCAATCAAAGGTCTAATAACAGCTAGATTCAGCTAAAAAGCACTTAATGGACATTCTGATTGTTGGATCAATCCTAATTGCTCAATGTCAAAATGAAAGTTTTTGTGGTGATGACTGATGAGCATGCAGCAAATGAGTTGTTATGGTAGTCCACCTTAGCATGTGTTTATCGATAATTTTCTGGTGGAAGATTGGTGGTGGCAGAAGGGTACTAGGGCAGAGCCACCAGTAAGTTGAAGTGTGGCGATGTGAAGATCGAAGGGAGCATCGAAATGACTGGCCTAGCTACTTTCAGCAGGACGTGCATGATCCATAGGAGATCTGCAACAGAGACTATAACGATATCATTAATTTAAATTAGTAATAATTGAACATGCAATGCACGTTATTCTGAAATATTTTAAATGTGCTATAAAAATAATGTTTGAAGATATGAATATAAAAAACAATTAACACAAATAGAATGAATATATCAATTGAAAATGTTTATTATAGATATGCGTTATGACCCCTCCCCCGGGGCATTTACCTTATCTATGTCTTAACATTTATTGAATAAATCAATTTGAAGAAAACTCTAAAATATTGATCTTTAATTCTAATTTTTTTTTTAAGGAATTTAATTTATTATCCAATCAAATAGAATGAATTTGTTAAATGTACATTGATTATAACTAAATAATTGACAAAATAATTCATATAACATCATTAAAATGATTAAGTAAATCAAATACATATTGAAAAATGAAAACTTAATGAAACTGTTGAATATGGTTAAATAAATTAAATACGTATTGAAAAATGTACATTTACTATAATTAAATAGTTGGCAAATTAATTAATGATAATATTGTTCAAATGGTTGAAATGATTAATAAATTAAATATACATTGAAAAACGAAAAGTATGGTATTATTGAAATAATTAAATATATATTAAAAAATAAAGAGTAAGGTATTATTGAAATAATTGAATTATATAGTAAGATATAATTGTTCAAAAAATGATTCACTTGATGTGATATTTAATATACTATAGATATGTATAGCAACTTATTTTTTTAAATCAATGATGTGTGAAGTTAATGTTTTTATGAATTCATTTATTTTATTTGCGATTTCTCTTATGCTATGCTCGATGTGTCGCACTAGAATTACGTATCTTCGTTAAAAACAGTGTTCTAAGAATTTCGTCTAGATGGAAGGTTAGGTAATTGAGTGAACGTGAGGTTAGATCGAGTGCACGAAAAGTAGATGTTTCGTAAAGTTTGAAAAGAATGTTAAACGAGAGAGAGAGAGATGTTAACAACCAAAGAACGGGAAAGTACAATTTGTAAATTACTAAAACGTCCTTGTATTTAAAAAGACATAATGCCCATAATTCTCCTTTCAATTTCTAATTGGTCTTAATTCAATTTTGACTTCCCTTCTTCCACAGTCGATACGACATTTCTATGTAATTATTCTCATTTTCTTATCATATTCTCCCATTCGTGAAACCCTAAAATTTATCATTGCCATTCCCTTAAACACTCGTTTGGTTGAATTGAGTAATCAAAACTTACAACATTCTTGTTAGGCATTTAGAGAAGAAGAGAATGTAGTTTTAAATTTCAATATTTGGGTTACTTTCTTTTTCAATTTTTCAAATTCATTTTTTCATGTTGTTGTGATTTGTATATATGGAGTTCATTTGTCAATAATAGCTTTGAATTCGTTTATCATTTCATTAGAGTTTTGATATGGGTTGTTTTCCAATCTATTCTTACTACTACTTATTTTTTAAGTGAAATATATGTTGGTAAATACATGTAAATTTTTCATTTTTTTTCCTGTGCAGAACGACTTATATATCTTTTCTATAATGCAAACGACATACATTTCATTATCAATACTGTATGAAGTTTGTTGTTTGATGAAATTTTAAATTTTTATATTGAGTTGCAGTTATCAACACCGATATGTTATAAATTCAGATTGTTATCCAGTTGAATATAAGCAGTTAGTTGTAGGTGCTTGAAAATGAAAATATGCAGATAATGGCAAGAAGAAAACAACGTATAATCTTGTCTTTGAAAATAATTTCTTACGTGAACTTGTATGATAAAGTTAGAGAGGTATTGAAGATTGATTCAATGTTTTACAAAATAGGGATGTCAACTCTTGTCCAAATGATGTGGCCTTATTATTTTGCAATTATAGGATGCACCAAATGATTTATTACATTTTTTAGTCATTGTATTATTAATTATGTTGTATTGGAACGATCCTAAAGTCATCATGTTATTTTATGTTATTGCTTTTGTGTTAAATAAATGAAGTTGATTTTTATTTTTATTGCAAATCAACAACTTTTATATCATACTAGTCTTTGACACGTGCGTTGCACGAGTTTTGTATTTATTATATTTTTATTAGCGTCAAAATTGTAAATTTTTTACTTATAAGTAACTTTTTACATTTTACAAATATTTTTTGTCTGTATTTTTATTTATTAATAATTTCTTACATAAAAGTGATTGTTAGAAATAAAATAGTGATAGCAAAAAATATCAACAAATAAAAATATTACTAATAAACAAATTCAAAGAAAAAAATTAGTCTCCATGCTTGGAAGTCTCAATCCTCCGTAATACGGAGGCTTGATCCCTCCATAACAAGAGACTTGATCTTTTATAACAAGTCTTCGTATTACGAAGGAAAATCCTCCGTATCACGGAGGATATCAAGCCTCCGTATTACGAAGGAAAATCCTCCGTGATACGGAGGCTTGATCTCATGGAGAGATCAAGTCTCCATAATAAATATGGAGAGATTCCTTTGATATATTTTTTTTATTTAAACGATATTTTATTTATAAATCATCTATTTAACATATAAGTTAATACTTAATTTTAAAAATAAAATATATTTAAATATTTACTCCAAATTTTTAAGTTAATATATTGTTAAGTTACAAGTAATTTTTATAATTATAATTTTTTTTTTTACTTTTAAATAACTTTAAACGAATTTTTTTTTTTACATATATTTATGGAATTCGCACTTTTGCTCTTGAATTAACCCCCTCAATTAATTTTTATTTAAACGGTTCGTAAACATGTTGATTGATATTATTTTTTGGTCATCCAAATAGTTACTATATACCTTTTACGTACATATATAAAAATAATGTTTTTATTTATTAACAAATGAATATATTTATTTTTCAAGAAATGAGTTTTATTATCATTTTGTTTTTATCATGAAATGATTCTAATCTTAATATGTTAGATTGTGCTTCAAAATAATATAATTTATTAAATATAATTTTTAAAATTAATTTTTATAGAGTAATATGTTTTTATGATTTTTTTTTTTTTAGTAAAATAATAATGGAAGTTCAAGACATGAGCCTCCGTAGCCTCCATAATTATGGAGGCATCTGGAGGAATCATGTTGATGCCTCCACAATTATGGAGGCTCAAGTATAAGCCTCCATAATATATTATATTATAAAATTAACAAAAATTTAATTATTTTTTATTTTATAATTGTATTTTCGAAATTTTTTTTAAAAAAAAGTGGTTATGAAATTGTTAATTTTTAAATCTGTTTTTTGTTGAAAATAAAAATAATTTTTTATGTTATTTGTAAAAAAAAAAATTTTATTGTAATTTTATTAGTGTAATAAGAAGATTTATTATGCATTTTTATTTTTTGCATTTTGTGAAAAATTTTGTTATGCTGACTGACAAATATTCTTCCACACACGCATTATGCCAACAACATTTAAAAATAATAATTTTAAAATATGTTAAAAAAATAAAAAAAAATATTATAGAGGCAAGGCCTCCATATTATGGAGCAAAGCCCCCATAATACAGAGGCTTTATGGAGGTTTCATGGAGATAAAACCTCCATAATATGGAGGCTCATGTGTGCTTGAGCTTCCGTAATTACGGAGGTCT